AGCCCCCCCCCCCCCCCAATAACAGATTAGCTATGGCCTTTGGTAAATGTTCTTACTTGTGGTTTACACGAAGTCAGAACAGTAGAAAAAGTCAACTTGTCTAAAACAACAGGTAAGCATTTCTGATCAAGAAACACTTTAAAATATTTACATTCCCTTTAAGACTATCTATATTTTATTGCCTAGCAACAGAGTTTCAACGGGTTACTGGAGGGCAAATTAATCTACATCAGAACTGTTTTTATCGTTGCAAGAATTAGCATCCTGCTTTTGCCATTTCAAAGAACGTGGAAGTTGATTTGTATCGAAAGTAGGTTGTGTTTGTTATCTCTTTGCTCTAAGGGTTCAAATGCTTTCAAGATGGATATGGGTAGGTTAATATTTTGATTCGCCACGTCCATCCTGTTCTGGCGATTACCCTCAAAGAAGGGGATATCCAAATCAGAAGTGACAACCAAATCAGAAGTGACAACCAAATCAGAAGTGACAACCAAATCAGAAGTGACAACCAAATCAGAAGTGACAACCAAATCAGAAGTGACAACCAAATCAGAAGTGACAACCAAATCAGAAGTGACAACCAAATCAGAAGTGACAACCAAATCAGAAGTGACAACCAAATCAGAAGTGACAACCAGATCAGAAGTGACAACCAAATCAGAAGTGACAACCAAATCAGAAGTGACAACCAAATCAGAAGACATGAATTCAACAATGCTCTTAAATGTAGATGGAGAGAAATCGACATAAATACAAAATTTAAGAATGATTCTTGCTAGCAAAGGATTGTTTCTAAGACCAAACAAACTCATTTTATCTTGATTATTCATAAAGTTTCCAAACAGAAGAATGGCAAATTAAGGCAAAACACGTAACCGTTACGTTCTTAAACGTTGCATACGTTTTTAAAACTAAAGTGAGTAAATTGACTTTTGCTAGAACAGCCAATTTGATTCTGCTTTATTTCACTGCCTTGACAGAAGAGGCGATCAAATAGACTGAGCCAAGTATAAAAACTATACATACTATTGAACAAAATTTGGAGAACCGGAAAAGGAAAAATAACAAAACCATGAAGGATAATTGATCTAAATTTTCAATTTCAGAAAATAAAGGTAATTCAACATCATACAGAAAACTTCAAGCTGACTTACACCTTTTTTCAAGGAATCTTTCCAATAATACTTATACTGACAAAACTTGAAAAAAAGTCATTACCATATTCCTAAAAAGTAAAAATTTAGGCAAAACACGAGACATCTACTGCATCCAATTAAATATCCCGAACCCCAGCTTTCAATGACCTCAGGGATACTCATCCCTTTCCCATCGAGTTTATTTCAATTTTTCCTGATTTTAGTCGCTAGCCTCTCCCCTCCCTCTGTTCTCTTCAAAATACCAAGTGAATTGAAATATTTGTTTTGCACCATACAGTCTCAAAATTTTCCAATATAAGATAGTAAGTTAAGACAGTAGGCTTTAAGAATAGGAGGTGTTCTCCTCGATCAGTTTAGCTATTGAGAGAGCTCCTCCTTTAAGAAATTCCTTTACATACAATAATTTTTCCCCCGATTTGTTGTTCTTTATCTTCTTTATTTTTGTATTTTAGTTGCAGTTGTAATGAATCTTTGAATTTATTGTATGTAGTGGAATTTAAATAAAATTAAAATAAAATGAACTGAACCCCCCCCCCAAAAAAAAAAGATATCGTGTTTTTGTCTCGATTTAGAAAGGAGGCTACTGAGCAAAGCAGTCAACATGGCGGTCGAGTTGGATCCACTCTTTCTGAAAGCTATTACCCTGCTCAATTCTAAGCATCCAGATTCTGGAAGGCAGCTGAAAGTTTTGGTGCAAGAATACCGGGAAAAAATAACTGGAGAACCAAAACGTGAAAAAGTATGCTAGTCTTCTTTGTCTCTTTTATAATAAAAAACATTATGATATTAATCGGCGGCTTATAAGATAGGCTGCTGGCTAGGCTCCCGTACCTACATTATTAATGCTCTTGTAATCATCATACTTGGCATACTATAATCGGCATGAGATACTTTTGTTTATTGCTAAAAGGACGATATTATTTTGCGGAAATTTTTTTGCAAAATTTAAGGTTAGGTTAGGTTAAAGAGAAGTAGGCAATGTTTATTGTGTATCCTTTTATCTCTCTACAATAATCCCCTATTCAAAGTAGAAATTCGATATAACCCTCATTTCCTGATCTTGTGCGAGAAATGTTGAATAGAACACATGCAAAATGTATTAATTTCTTTAATATATTCAATTTCTTATGTCATCTTCTGAAGTCAATGTTTTGTACAGTTTGGGAACTAAACTCTCTGGAATCTATAATAAAGACTGACACAAAGCACACGGTAGGCCTAGGCCTAGAACAACCAATCTGTCTTCTAGCCTTCTTTTTCAAATCGAGAAGAAACAAAGACATGCTGGAAAAATTTATAAAGTAAAATTACAGTTTGATAGGCAAAAAGTCTGTAGGTTTTCTGTGCAGTCTTGAAACCTATATAAATCAAAGGCTATTTTTTCTCTACAACCTTTGAAGTAAGCTTCTATAAAGCCTTTTCTCTTGTAAGCTCCTCTTCTAGAGTCTCAGAACTAGGTATGCCCAGTGTTTCGGACCTTTTTACAGTACTTGACAGAAAAACATCATGGTCAGTCATGAATGTCCAATGCAAAAGTAGTGGGTTTCATTTCTTGATTTCTAGCATTTAAACTGCTGTTTGCACTAATATGCCTGATTTTTACTTCATCAGATTGAAAGGAGAGACTCTGTAGCTGAAAGAGTTAGCCCAAAGATAGTAGAAAAGTCGCAACATGCAAGTGACAGATCAATGTCACCAGTATTTAGCCTTTCTGTAACAAGCAGTTCTGTCACACAAGTTGATTCTGCATCCACAACAACTGCTGTGGAAGTGGTGGAAGAAATGAGTAGTAGCTCATATGGTGATGTACTCAAAGAGGAACAATTAGATGCGAGCATGGTCAAAAGTATAGAGGAACTGGCAAACTCAAGTAAGTGGCTATTTTCCTTTTAGTCTGATAATGAAACCCACTACTTTGGGGCTTGAGCACCCTTTCAAAATTATGATTCTCTTCCCAGGTAGCTTTTAGACACAGAACAGCACGTCAATAAAACCAAATTAAAGCAGTTATTTACTCAGTTTATGCAAAGGTGGGGTCAAAGGAAATGCTTTTAGCATTCAAAGAGTCTCTACTCTGTATCTATATGGTATTAAAGTTTATAGACATACATTGGAAGTAAATATGTGAAAAAACTGTAAGATTTGGAAAGTATAAACAAATGTATAAGTGTGAATATAAGTAAAAGGTTCAGAAAACATAAGTCCATCTCCATGAGAAAAGTTGGTCTGGAAATTTCGCTTTCGTTAGAGTTCAAAATTTGGATTGAACAGTAAATACCTCAAAAGAATGAAAGAAATAGTACAGTAATGATGATGATTATGATGATGATGATCAAGATAATTATGATGTAAATGAGAATAATGACAAAGTTGGCATTGAAGAGGATATACGTAAAAATGATTTCTGACCTCATATAACATATTTTCTATGCAAATTCTCAAAAATTTAAATGCAAAAAGTTTCGTCGTGACCAAATTTTGTCCCATTTTGAATTTAGTTGAAGAAAATTTCATCGAAATATTTGTCCGAAATTTTTGTAGGTTATATATGCGTTTTTAAAAAATGAGATTCAGAGTTTCAGTCAACTATTTTTCGAAGCTTTAAGTATATCATTCCTCTTTTAGGGGCTAATAATATGAAACAAACTGCCCAATACATTGAATCAAGAAGATGATGCTGTAGACGATTCATTTTAGTTTCGGGAATCAATGTTAGCTTATTTGCTTTTATTCTATTTAATCTTTTGTTACAGGTTTTGATAGTGCAATAATGGAAGAGTTAAACTCGAGTGGCTTACTAGAACCCTCTGCCAAAAAGAAAAAGTTAGACACTGTCATCAAGGAAGATTCGATTTCGTCTCTTTCTGAAGAAGAAGAAGATTCAGATGATCTTCTTGATGAAACGTTAGAAGATTTTGATGGACCAAAATGTTGTGTGTGTCAGAGGTATGTTTGCTCTCGTTTGTTTTTATCACAGTGTATATATATATATTTTTTATCTCTTCTTGATTGCTACTCGTCTTCTTTCTTTAAATCTAAATTAATTACGCACATCTTTTAAATCACAAACTTGATTAGAAATTCCTATTTGAAAAACGGTTTCCATGCCAGCAGGATTCCTGTAGTTATTCGAATTTATATGAATTTTTACTTTAGCAACAATACCTTTATCATTTATTTTTCATTCAGCATGGGTCGTTATCAATAAATGTTGCATTATTTGTTTTATTTCCATAGTCCCTCAACGGATAGCCCTGATAATAGTTTAGTGGAATGCCACGAGTGTCACAACCAATACCACCAAAAGTGCCACAAGCCACCTGTCACCAGCAAGGATGTGCATGACCCAAGATTTGTCCTCTACTGCAGCCAATGTTCAAGAAGAATGAAAAAGGAAATGGTAAGAAATCTCATCAACGAGTTTATCATTAATTTATGTTTAATATTTTGGTTAGTCTTTCGAGTAACTGGTTGGGAGTTTGATTCAGTGAAACTCGACATTTTGATTTTGTTTAATGTTTGGTGCTCTCTGTTGCAATCATTGAAGAAGCTGCTGCTGACCCCCGTCTTTGACACTGTTGACGTCTTCTGTTCCGTTCCTTTCAAATGAGTTCTGTTTCGATCATCAAAGTTCAGTTAAATTCGTTTTTTAAATTCCACATTCATTACAGGAGAAGATAAGTGAATAAAATCTAGCTTAAGCTTTGCTGCTTGGAAATAGGGGATACTAATATCAGTACTGTTTCAACTTACTTGGGTTAGTCATGTTACTTCTTTTGGAATCCAATGCAGACATATTTAAACGTTTTCGTTAAAAACAACGTCAAAGTTAAAAACAGCTGATGTTTCTTTTTTCCCAATACTCCAAGCTGCGTGCAGCCTCTGCCTCATCGTCGGGAGCGAAGAGGCTGCACGAAGGCTACAACATTCCTGGCTTAAGCCTGTTACCCTAGAAGGAAGGGGCAGATGTGCACTCGCTCACCACCCTCATCCTTATACCCCACGTGATTCCCGTGTTTGCAGGATAAGCTCTCGCTAGATTGTTTTGTAGTTTTTACCTGAAGTCAAGATATTCTCATGGGTGCAAATATCATTTTTGTGTATTCCGATTTTTTATTTCAATCGATCATTCATTGATTTCCTTCACATTATCACCAAAGATTTGTTCCCGGTTTTTCTGCAGGCTGCTCAGAAGTCGAGTTTATCAACATCGTCTACCAGCATGCAGGAGCCGACTGTCGCAAAGCCCGTCACTAACCCATTTCAAGTTAAGACATCAATACAACCATTTCGAAGGCCTACGAGCTCCGGAAATGCTTCGGAGCAAACAAAGGTAAGAAAATCCCTCTTTGTAATGTTCATGCTTAGACAAAGAGTCAAGAATCTTGATACGGTGGCTTAAAAACGAGTGTACACTTACAAAAATCAGAAACAACTGACAATGGGCGTTATAGCAGAATCAATTGGAGAATATTGTATCTAGAGGGGTTTCGTAAAGGGGGTGTTTATTAAAAGGGGGCTTTTCTAAAAGGAGCCTTTTCATCTCTTATAAGTTGATCCTGCGGATAATAGAACAAGAGGGATGACCAATTCACAAGTTGATGATGAGAATGTGTCAAAGATAGATCTTATTATATTAGCTTTGGGTCTATACTTAGCCAAAAAAGGTTAGAAAATTTCAAGCCCATTTCATTTAAGCCTCTGTATATACTTAAATTAAAACCAGTATATAAAACCTTGTTAATATCAACTAAAGCTAAATCCTGATCTCTCTTCCGATGGAAGTTGAAACAGCTTTGTTTCAAAATGAATGCACTTACTTTTTCTAACAGAATGGTATATTGCATTTTGATGCCAAATTTCTTAGCCTTGGCAGTTCATTAGGCATTTTAGCTCACTGCTAGCAACGATTTAGTGCTCTATCACCCTCTGTGATAAATGAGAAGAGCTGCAATATTTTTACACTTACGTGGCATTTCTAAAGCCCTGGTTCTTTAGTTTAATAATGAGATTTTTAAAAAGATATAATCCAGGACAAGATTTTTTCTCATGCTCGCACTTTTTTATACAAGAGTAATCGCACTGACCAATCTAAAGTTTTTTCAGCATATTTTAGTAGATTTTTGGCATGAAATGATAATTATCTTGGCCTAATTTGAATATCATTTTCAAGCTTTGGCATCTTCCTTTCAAATTATCATTTGGCATTTTCTGGAATTTTTTTCCAGTATTTTTTTTATCATGCGTGTTCAGCAACCTTCCAAACCTGTTTTCCAGGCTGCTTCTTCGCCGTTCATGCCCACAGCTTTATTACAAGGAAACAATGGAAGTAATAATGGTCAGTCCCAGAATTCACAGCGAGGTGGTCCGTCTCTGCCACAGGACGTTCGAATGAAATCGATGAAGAGATTAGAGCAAGTGAAAAAGCGCGCGAAAATGCAACAACAGATGAGAAAGAGGTAGCTAGTGCCTCGTTCTAGTAGAATATCAAGTGGAGGCTAACTGAAATTGAGAGAACTCGTTGATTATGATCCCGAAAAGCTAAGTCAGTTATTTAATTTGTTATGCTATGTTCCATTTCTTTGCTTGTGCATCAAGTTTGAATCAGGTATAGATTGTAAGTATTCTTCATTGGAATGAGTTATAGGAGCTTAGAATTTTGAAGAAGGGACGTAACATTAGGCCAAATTCGCTTATTGTCAAATGTCGCTTATTGTCAAATGGCTAGTAAAATTAGTCAAATGGCCACTGGTTAGTAAAATTAGATTGTAATGCTCAGAAACCTGTACAGAAAGTGTACATAAAAAGTATCTGTGAAGCGTATTCAATCCTTACGTTCGCTCTATCTCTGTTGCTAATTTATATTTTCACGACAAGTGTGTGAATGAAGGTCTTTCTTTGTACTATCACTGTCACAGAGCTGTCTCAAAGCTGTCTGATTTTATTGAAGTTTGCTTCCCTGTTCTTTGTCCTTCATCTTTGAACTGGTCACAAAATTAGCGATAAATGATCTTCATAAGTAGCGCCAAAACATATTTGTAATTCCTTTTCGCACTTTACTTGAAAAACTAAAAAGAAGAGATTCAACCCCATGCCTATTCTATTGTGTCCTTCCCAAATTAGGATATTGGTCATAATTCTGAGAGCGCTCTATCAAAATTAATGCAACATTTTGCACATAGGCTGCTGTGCCTATAGACGAAGTTTAGCTCTGTCTTTACTTCTTTGGCAATTTTGCAAAACTATTGTCTGTTATCTTACAATGGATGTTGTTCGTTGATGAAAGGATCATTTCTCATGATAAAAGTCACCTCTTTTTAAAAATAACATCGGCATTACCAAAAGATGGTGCTCTTGTGGTTTCAATTTAACATCAAAGTAACTGTTTATGTTTTATTCATTGAATTGCTCTCAGAGGCTTGAGCATTTGAAAATGATTGCTGTCTGACAAATCCAAGCAATTGGTTAAAACTCTTACAATCTAGGCATTTTTAAAATTTAACTCAGCACATTTTTCACCCTTCTAGTAACTTGCTTTGACATTTTCACCCACTTTTGTTGTCCGCCTGTATCTTTCCTTTTTCTACCCTAGCCTCAAATTGGCTCTGTTCAGATATTTCCATGGAGTACCAATCTAAAATAAGGCATTATTCATCATGCGTTGTATCAGATGAAGTTTCTCTCAAAGCTTTTTCACCTCCCTTTCTTGTTATCCAAACATTTATTATTCATGTTAAACAAAAACAACAGAAAGAGTTGAGAGAACTCCTGCAAAAATGGGCGGTCCTTTCCATTACTTTTCTAAGTAACGGTCAATTTGTGCTCGTTGCAGGGGCCCTATTTATTTCGTTGGCCATCCAGCCTCATTAGTGTAGTTGCCAGAATGAAAACCACATGCTTGCTGGCTCCTTGTTCTGGTTTCTAATCATTCTTATAATGGCTATTCAAAACTACGCCGGGTTCCTGATTTGCAATTTCAATCAACGACATCATCATAATAATCGCCATGAATACGCAGCTAAGCATCATCATAATCATCAGCATCATCACCGTTATCAATATCAATCACATTCTTCATTCATCCTCTTCTATCGTCAATCATTTTCATCAATCACAATCATGCTCAACAATTACCATTATAATCATCATCAACAAGTTGCTAACGGCCCAAATAATCACGAATCGCTTGAATCATTACCGAAATCATAATCAGTACTGTTATGCGAGTACTCGAGATTTCTATGACGCAGCACGGTGCTTTATAGAAACATTGAAAACAAATCACAAATGCAGGTGACGTATTGAGACAGCCAATTACATGGTTAGCGGCCCCGTTAAAATGTCTTATGTACATTAAACGCAGTCTTGTAGCAATTCACGATCTTCTGGATCAGTTTAAAGCCGCTTTTATATATTTAGCCGGAAGGTGTCGAAGAGAGGGGGTTGTTACAATGTTCATCCTGTTGTAGCAACCAACCATAACAGGACCATATTCTTTCTTTGCAAAACTGTATTTCATTCTTATCTCAGTTTGATATCATTTAAATCCAGTTACTATTGGTTTGAAACTATGTCGCAAATCGCATAAAAGAACTTCTTGAATCAGTTCTGAATAGTTTGCACAATTTATTAACTCCGCTCAGCAAAGCCTACTGTCATACAGCTATGTTTTAGATGTATAATGTAAGTTGTAACGTTGTTAGATGTTAAGATGTAGGAATTTGGCATTTGTTGCTTATGTATATCTGCCAATAACGTGAAATAACAGACTATTGAAAAAGCAAAGGAAAAAATTCTTAAATTCTTGTTGATCCTCGATCACTTCTAGAGAGCTCTTTGATTGCAAAAAGAGCTATTAGACTCTCTTATTAGAGAATTTGTTACTAGCTGTAATTATTTGTTATTATTACTCGGATTGTGTATATTCAAACTTGTAGCTTTTCCGTGCGAAAATATGAAGCAGCATTAACCATATTTCAAAGACATCTCTGATACTGTGAAACGCAAGGTAGTAAGGTATACTTTTTGTGGAACAAATCTGCGAGTCAACCGTGGCCCAAACCAGGCGAATCTTACAGGGGTTGCGTGATATACCTTGTTAAAGGCTAACCGTTTATAGTTCGAAGGGGTGGAGCATTGACTTGTTTTAGCGACTCCTGCATGCTCATCGCATGACTGATGCAAAGAATAGGTTTATTTTACCCACAGGGCTATCATGAGCTGTCGATAACAGTTATCCAGTGATGCTTTATTCCATTTAACGGCCAGATATGATAACAAATCTTGTTTACACAACAGCTTCTTGGGATTGCTATGATATATTGCTAATGATTGACAGGATAATACTGTGACGTATGTTTTTCTTGAAGCAGTCCAAACCCCGCCCAATTCACCCCCTTTCAAAATAACTTCAGATGATTACAACAAACTGCTACAGTGCCTAAGGTACATAAGCTCAAAAGCATTTCAGTCTTTCTTTGACTTCACAACTCTCTTCTCTCTGGCACTCCTTCCTTTTTCTCGGGTGCCAATGCTGATCTGTGGCTCGAAACCACCTGCAAACACGAAGATCCGACGCCCCCCTGTCAGATTGATTTGTATCCTTTTTATTATGCCGTGAAACACTGTGGGTTCCAGAAGGCATTCATATACAGCGACCAGCCTGCTGGAGGCTCAGCTCTGCAATCAAAATAAGCCACAAGCGTCACAGAAAAGGCGAGTGCCGAGTGCGTGATACATGTATTTATGGTTGCAAGTATACGCTACCAGCCATAAACCAGAAAACTCGAACGCAAACTGCGTCAATAACATCAAACAGTTTTCTGTAAACCTTAGCCTGGATACTCTCTCTTATCAATCGATTATTTATATTATTGTGCGGTTGAAAACAAAGATGATATCACAACCTGAAGTTTTGAAGCTAGCAGGATAGTGAACAGCGCTGGCAGCCTCTCCGCTATCTTTCACACACAAGTGCAAGAATATCAAGCAAATCGAAGGAAGCAATTGTTAACGAAAGCAGTTGCAGACGATCTGCCAAAATAATTGACCTGGCTTTTGGATTAAACACTGAGGGGTGTAAGTGTTGCTACGAGTAAAGTCGGTTGGAATAATGCTCATTCGTAGTACGCAAGTTTCTCACAAGTAAAGGTACGTTAAAAATTGTTTGTTTATGCATTCATATTCTGAACAAGCTGGACAGATCCGTAGCTTAGGCAAGGTTGAAAAGAATTCCATAGAAAGAATTGTGTTACATGCTTACTAGTATTAGAAACCTAAGCTGAGTTATCCTTTCCATTTTCTTTGTTACTTTGGGTTAAATCTCTATCAAAACACAGTAATAGCCTATAGTTTGTCTACTAAACCAGGATATCAACGAGCCCACGTATTGTACGGTTGACTTCTGCCATTACTTTGAGCTTTCCATTGGTTTTGAAGGCTCGCGCTGGTTGTTTGCTCGGTTGTCTTGCCACCGTTTCAATAGCCATTAAGACTGAATTTAAGTTGTGGTCTCGCGTATTCATCCTGTTTACGAAAACCAGTAACGATTGAAGGGAGTGTTTTTGTAATGAATGTCGGAAAACGTGTCGGATATTTTCATTCCTTTTTGTTTCTACTGTTCACATTGATTGCTGGTGCACCCTTTTTTAATAAGAGCCAGTAAATTGTCCTTAACTATAGACCAATGTTGAGACTTGTTTTCTTAGAAAATTGTTCTTATAAAAGGAGTGTTCTCTACACATTATTCTGATTCCGTCAACCAAACTTTGGTAAACTACAAGCTCTGGTTTTTTTTCAAATTGTGTTAAACCCAAGTGTTTTGTTGGTCTTGAATATAAGTATGATCGTTATGTGTTATTGATCAAGAAACTACTAGCAGAGAAAATACTAGCGACTGATAAACTGATGTTTGACCTATCGCAATATCCTTATTCATATTAATTACCAGTTATCTTTAGAGAGACAAGTTGTTATCAACTTTAAGTTCAGGGCTATTTCAATTTTTAATATCATATGATACCTCTTTTTAAGACGTTTATAAAAACAGCTTACAATTTGACGATTTTCCTGATAATGTTTAAAGTTTAAACCACCTTTGCAACTCACTGTGTAAAATCTTTAATAGCCTTAATAAATATTTTAATTGCCCTGTTCAAGTGTTATATGATCAGCTTATATCTGAGCAAGTATAATTTCGATCAGAATCGAAATCAATTGTTAAGCATTACTTTAATACCAGCGGTTGCATTCAAAGTGGAATAGAAAGGGTTTCAATAAAAAACCTGCTTTGCCCAAATGCGGTAAAAATTGCAGTAACCACGTTTGTGGGCAACGCAAAAATTCGAAATAGTCCTAGATATCTGTATGGTTTGTTTTGCTTTGAAGCCTACGTAGATCGCAGTTTTACGATGTTTTGTTTATGAGTCGCAATAAGATTCTATTTGTTTCTGTCTGTTTTTAATATGTCTTAACAATCAAACTGCATGTAGGTACAAGCCATTTGCTCTTTTATGTGCGTCATCTGTCTCAAAAATGCCTTATTTTTCGGGTCAAAACCTAAAAATGGTCGTTGAATTTAAACTTCAGCTTTCTTTTTTTGTCTGTTTTAATAGAGTGGATAGAAAAAGAAAGCTCCAATTTGGATTACACCTGCTTTATGTTTGGCATCACTTGGTGAGTTTTTGTTCCGATTCTACTATTTAACTTAACTCAAAGAGACTCAATAAGATGAGACTGTATACATCACATGTGACTGTACATGTGAGGGAGTTGGGTAAGGGGGTAGTGCGGTTTTCACCAATTAAGTAAAAATGGATCAATTTTCGAAGCACGTACAAAAAACACTACCGATGTCAAGGATACGAAAAGCTCTATGGTCCACATTTGAGTTTTCTTTGGCATGAGTCCTTGATCTTTATTAGTAAATGGTCTCTTGTAAGAATATATAGGGGGTGGGTCCCTTTGACCCTAGAACATGAAGTGAATTTTTGTGGCATGAACGGTTTCCAAAGACAACCTTTTTCGATGTAACTTTAGGCATCTTCATGTCTCCTTTGTTTGTATTCCTCTCGGAGTCTTTCGCAAAAGACATTCAGTCTTTCAGAGCAATATTCTGCCTGATCAAATAGTAAAGTTTCATTGAATTTTTTTTGGCGTTGATAATTTGATCGACTCAGATAAAACCTCGCTCCGTACCTTGTTTCAACTTCTAACCAATATTGATTTTGTCAACTGGGCGATAAAAATAATTTACACTAGTTTTTGCTAGATCTTTATCTTGATTTCTAAATCCATTGAAAGATTTTCTCGCCCGTCGTCAAAGTTCTAGGGAATGCCCCCAAAAGCTCCTTCATATGTCATGGTACATTTATCACTCCACCTTTTATTATTGTACATTCTCCGTTAAAAAGCGATATTCAGCGAGAAAGGCTTTGATTTGATGAATGTCTTCTTCTTTTTTAATCATTTGTTAATCTCAATTTATCTTTCTTCACCTTTTTTTCAAAAGCATCCCATAACTTGAAAGTAAATATGATTCTCAATTTACTTTCGTTTTAATTTTGGTTTTATTTTTTTATGCATCCTACAGATACTTCATCAGATACAAGTAATTGTTATTCAAACTATTAACACCCATATTTATTTAGCGAATAAAAGTTGATACTCCTGTTCTTATCCTGTTGTCTATGATACTTCTGTTCTTAGAGGATGTCCTGTATAGGGGGTTGTTACAATTTTTGCGTTAGGCTTTTGGCTCCACACTTTTGCGTTAGGCAATCTGGCATTTGGCTCCACACCTTAGTTTTGGAGTTTGTGAATCATTTGTACTTCTAGTTTCGTAGTTTGAAATCTCAGAGCTAAGAGTAAAATCGTTGAGAGAAGTTCCCCAAAGTTACTGCAGATGTGTATTTAGGAAATTAGGCCAATTTTGCTAGAATGCCGCTCATAACTATAGTTCTATTAAACTGGTTAATTGTTGCGTAAATATGACGATAGCAAATTGCATGTCACTATGTATGATGAATGGTTGTGGGTACGATACCAGTCTGCAATGGCTTATCACGGACCATTCATTCGTAGCCGCACTCCCTTTTACACTAATGTACGTAAAAAACCCATAAATGATGTATCATCATAGCAGCATTTGACTGCGATGCTTTTGAAGTACTTAGGCCCAAAGTTTTGCGCCTCTCATTTCAACTTGCTCTTCTTCGACTGCAAATTGAAGGAGGCTTACAAAGAGGGCCGCTAGCAGGGCACTTGTGATCTGAATAAAACGAATTGCTTTAAGTCTAATCCAAGCCCTCAATCTGGTATAACGAGCCAGCATGCTATTCAAAATTGCCGCAGGATTTCTTTGCTCAAGGAGATTAAACTCTTGTTTTAGGCAATAGTCCTGTGTTTTGAAACAGATGTAACTCTTCCTTGAGTTGGTCGAAAGGAAGTTCGCTTTGTTGATAATTCTGTTTTCGTTTAAGGCAGAGGAATCTCACACCGGGCTGAAGGAATCCTGATAAAAAAAACTGGTGAGTGAATTTTTAAAACATTTCTAATGCTTGGTGATCTTCTTGTATGGTTGAGAATTTGTAGAGAATGAGGCCATTTATAAAGGCTTGTTATGCAAGCTGGTACAAACAACTCGAGATGTTGTGTTATGTAGGTCAGTGGTTCTTTTGTTAAAGTGTGTATGATGTTACTCGGATAGGTTTGTTGTCAGTGTATTTTAAAATTAGTATGTTTTCTAGCATCAAGAAAGATCTTGATCATCTTTAACGTATCAATGGTTGGAATATCAAACAGGTTGTATCTTGAGCGTGTCAGTTGGAACGAGAACTAATTCGAGAAAGATTTGTTTCTTTGGGCTTTGCTTTGTATCGTTGAACATCTCGAGCCTTTTATTTAGAAAAGGATATGAATAAAAGGATTTATTGTTGATAAGCCAAATTTTTGAAACTTATACTATCTTAGTGAAGGGATAAAGCAAGAATTGGAGTGCCAGAGATTTCGCAGGCTGGCTGCGTTTTGTGTGAAGAGGTCCTTTCAGTAGATAGGGTGGAAAAGTGTTTGTTGATATTTCAGCAGAATAAAGGGGAATCAGACAGCCATCAAAAAATTAAATTTTGCTTATGAAATTTCCTGGGCTATTTTCTCTATCAACCCTTGTAAAGACCCTTTGTCCCAAATCGACATCAGGCCCCCTTTTTTATCAGATTTAACTAAGTCAACGGGAAATTAGGCATTTGGTGTGTATAATATACTTAAAAGAATATTGTCTTTTCCATTTGAAGGCAATGTTGTTCCACTTTATACACAACTCAATATACTTATTGCTCGCCTTGTTGGCTCTTTGGAAATACTAATTTCCCAATGCACTATTGCATGTCTGTTTGTGGCCTACTTAATACAACTGACATACCGATGCCTGTGATGATGGCATTAAGCATGAAACTCAAAGTTGCAACTTTGCACCACCCTGTTCTATATTATATGGTATCGAGCACTATGTGACAGACTTATTAGCAACGAACTTGATTAAGTGACATGATATATCTTCCTTGATAAGTAAGTTTGAATGAAGCCACACCCTCACTTGTATCTATTATGCAGACTTGATTTCAAATTTTGGCTTCCTCAGTGCTAAAAAGCATCCATGCTCATACCTGCAAAATGCAAAGTGCATACAAAATTCTAATCTAGCTGCGGTGGGGCGTCTTCCCACCATTTCATAGATTACATTTTTCCTATTCATTCTACCAAATGCTCTTGGATGAATGCATCGATAAAGTTTTCATTAATTAATTATTACTAGTTTCGGTCGCATTTCTTTCTCTTAAATCGACTATTTAAAATATTCACCACTAAGGTACCTATTTACATCACAAGCGTAATCCTTGGAACTTGGATACGATTATTCAGCATTTTGTATGGGGAGGTTTTATGCACGAATTCCAGTTTTCTGTCAGAAATGATACCGCATGATTGGGTGTGCTTAGCCATGGCTTAATTTTTCTTCTGCATTTGGTTATGGGTTGCAAGAGAATTTGGCTTTGTTTCTGGGAGATGGCAACTTGAGATACAAAAGACACGACATCTTGTTTTATGTAGTCCAGATCTGAGATAGGTACCTCTGTTTTCTTCATATTCAAATATTCAACTTTGCCAGCTATCAAATACATACAATATATTTCTCATACTTCTGCTAATAGCTTATCAAAGCCTTAGGCCATTTGATCCAGTCGTAGATTGGAAGAATTGGCTTTATCGTACAAAAGACACGATATATCTAGACTCCTTTTTCAGACAAAGCATTTATGTTGCCTCAACTTCAAATTACTCATTGATATTTCCTGACAGCTTAATCGTTTTGACCTCTTGGTCGCATTTCTTCTTCTTTTTTTCATGTTTTCGTTTCTGCGTTTACCTAGAACACGGCCTTGCGTAAAGAAATTACTCAATGACCAAATTTGTGTCTCTTTTCTTCATCTGGATTGTGTTGTGCAAATGTTTTTTAAACTGATCTGATGTCAGGCCTTTAAGTGTTTTTGTTGCATGTTTCATGCTATGGTAGGTATTCGATTCGATCGAAATTAACATGCTGATATGGTCTCGAAATCCTATTCCTTCTCACAATTAGGAATTCTATATATCATCGTATGATTTTCCAGGGTTCGGTTGAGTGTTCTGTAAGGTTAGGGCTGAGGACAACCCACAACTAAAGGCAGATAAGGTTTATTGGTACACCAGCAATTGGTGTATTGAGATTGATAAAAGATGTCATCAAGCACTAAAATGCAAATTTTTAGATTACGAATTGGCTCTTAAAACTTCCTGTTTGTTTCATTGAACTGCCTGGTTTGGGTAACGAACCGGGCTATCGTGTTTGCTCACCATCTCTTACCAAGGTTTCTCTTACACTGCAACACAAAGGGTATTTGTAACAATGTTTTATCTACGGTGCAATACATCTTCGTTCGCTCGTTGACCAATTGTTATTCAATTGTCTAGTTTAAGATTTATGACAGCTTCAAAAATGGACAAGATTTAAGAACGGCGTGTTTCTTTTACAATACGGCATCAAATTTGGCTGACGGTGCATCTTTACATGCCGTAGTGAGCGACAATTGAGTTTTTAAAATCAGTGGAAATTTATATTTTGTTTCAAAGTGATCAATAGCTTTTCTAACAAGAGTCGCTTTCAACACGAAGCTATGAAATTTCAGCATGTCTTATGACTTAGGGACACATTCCGGCTGAGTCTCGTTTCCATATCTGGGTTGCTTATTTCCACCTGTCATAAAATATCTGGGTATTAACGTAAAAATATCATTTCAAAAAACTCAAGTTAAATGTTTTCTTTTTAGCAAAGAAAGATGACAAGACACACGCAACAGATGTTTATGTGTGATCCAGTGAACCTTTTCGTTAATAGTAAAGTTCGATATTTATTATAGAAAGACCCTCTGCCAATTAAACAGAAACACTATGCCGAACCGATCGCACGGAACATTTCCGCGTTTCAATGAGAATGGCACAGAACACACATCATCGCAAATCATCGAGAAAACGAGTCAGGTAGATTCGCCGGATTGCGAGGCCAATATTCATTTACCGCATATACGCAACGACACACCGGGAAATTCCAAGTCGGAACGAAAACCGGGAAGATTTTTCAAATTTTCAAATGATAGGAACAGTTTTACAGAGAACTTGCTGTCGTTTTTCACAGGAAGCAAGGACCGTGGAAACCAGCAGAAAACAACAGACTCAGAAAAACCCAGAACTGCAGCAGCAAAGGAGAGCGGTTTACGGAACCGGACCGAAAACCGTCACGGCGTTGTAACGAGAAACGAGCGAAGCGCTCGGTCACACGTAACACACAATAATCTTCAGAAACATCCACTTCAGAGAACTGATAAACCGCGAATAACGGCCTTGACGAAAAACGACTCTTTTAGGCCGGTTACTGGACGGTCTCGCACACGTGCTTCGAACGGGGCAGTTGCGAAAAAGGACAACGATAGCGACATAGGGGGTTGCGAGAACATGTACAAGACGAAGCAACCGCCCGGAAAATTCAACGTGCCGCGGAAACGATCGCTTGAAATAAGCGAATATATTCGCAGAGAGAATTATAAATATAACGAACGCACCGCGAAGCAGTTCTTGTTTCAAAAATGGCTACGAAGCACGGAAACAGAGCTGCCTGAACACTATCCAATTGAACACAACGACACAAAATTATCAAAATAGTTTGTTATGTAAATAGTATAAATTTTACTTCCAGAGTAGGTTGGTGTTGGGTATTATAAACCAGTTTCATGGTAATTTGTTATTCATATTGCTAGAAACATAAGACTGTTTTTCCGTCAAAATTTCTCTATGCAAAAATTTGTTTCTTTCGAATGCAAAGTTGGAAAAAGATTGAAGTTGTTGAGGCGGGAAGGGACCCTAACCCTTTGTCCTTTCTGGTCCTTCATTTCTTTTTTTGTCCTTTTTTCATTTATGATTTTTCCCCTATTCAGTTTCAAATTTTTGGGCTGCAGTTGGGTATTGGGGTAAGGGGGTTGTATCCTTTTTTGGCCATATATGAATTCTTTCTGGTCCCCCCACCTCTTCAAAGGGGTAGCACTGTATAAGGTAACCTTACCTTGGGCCTGATCGTGTTACGCCATTTTTATATGCTTATTGAGTATTTGAGACTAATTTTATGCTTACATCATGCTTATTTTATTAGTTCCAAGATGCATTGATTTATCTCATTACGGGCAAACTCTCACGGCTGAACCCTTCAATCGTTGCCTGATATGCTAAATTGACCGCTCCTCTTTATAACTTTTCTTTGTGCGTTTTACACATT